CTTCGTGGTCGTTTACCCCCCCTCCCCCCCTAATAGGCTGACGTCATTAAAGAACGGTCCCTTATCGTTAAGATGACACCCATCAAAGGATGCCAGGTACATCCTACTAAAATCAGTAAGCCTGGAAGGAAATCACTAGGCCCCGATGAAGTTACAAACGAAATGTTACAACATCTGGGCAATACAGCCTTACAGAACCTACTGGATATTTTCAACTTTAAGCTGGGGAAAATGGGCAAGTACCCCAGTGTTGGAAAGAAGCAACAATTATCCCGATCCTCAAGCTAGGAAAAAGTAAGGCACGACCATTAAGCTATAGATCTATCAGCCTCACAAGCTGTGTGTGTAAGATAATGGAGCACATCATAGCTTGCAGAAAGCAGTGGTACCTAGAGGCACAACACATCCTAGTACCAGAACAAGCTGGATTCCGTCAGCTCAGGAGCACAGAGGACCAGACAACTTATTTGTCCCAAGTTATACAGGACTCATTCCAGGCACAGAAAGTGACGCTAGCAGCATTTATTGATCTACAAAACAGAAACTGCGCTATTGAAAATATACAACGACCTCTTGTGTGAGGCAGATGAGAACAAAATATCAATTCTTTCTCTTCTTGATCTTAGTGCTGCCTTTGACACTATAGATCACACTATTCTTATTGAACGATTGTTCAACACGTTTGGCCTGTCTGGCAGGGTTCTTGACTGGTTTAGGTCCTACCTGATTGGTCGTACACAATCTGTGGTTGTGCACGACTCTCTTTCGTCAATTTTTAAGCTAGATTTTGGAGTGCCTCAAGGTTCAGTATTGGGTCCAATCTTGTATACGTTATATACGCAGCCGCTTGGAGCTGGGATCAGAAAGCACAATATGAATTATCACATGTACGCTGACGATACACAGTTATATAAATCTGTTCCACCATCAGATGTTGAAACCTTGCTTACTACGATGGGTCTGTGTATTGATGACATCAAAAAGTGGATGGTTGATAATAAGCTCCAGCTTAATGAAAATAAAACTGAAATTCTGTTATGTAACCCAAAGAAAAGCCATATCCCCGTAGACATTGATCGTATTTGTACTGAAAATGAAACACTGTATTTTACTAACAAAGCAAAAAGTCTGGGAGTGTATTTTGATTCAAAATTGTCAATGGAACATCATATCAATTATTTATGTACCATTTTATTTTGTGAATTGCGTAGAATTGGTCATATGTCTATGTTTTTGAACGAACACTCGTTGAAAACGCTCGTGTCATCTTTCTTGTTTTCACGCATCGATTATTGCAATGCTTTACTAGCTAACTTACCAAATACCTCTCTTCACAAGTTACAACGTTTTCAAAATCATGCTGCTAGGCTTGTACTAAAGAAAAAGAAGTGGGACCACATTACTCCCATGTTAAGAACGTTGCATTGGCTTCCCGTGTCAGCTAGAATGTCATATAAAATTGCAATATTATGTCATAAATGGGTCAATAACAAAGCTCCCTCATATCTTAGTGATCTCATCCAGATTTATGTTCCTTCTAGATCACTAAGATCAGGCGACCAGTATCTTTTACGAGTTCCTAGAAAAGGCGGTAAAAAAATAGCCGAAAGATCGTTCGCCCACCTTGCTCCGTCAGTTTGGAACTCTCTTCCCCAACCCTTGAGACATACAACATCTGAGTCTAAATTTAAAAAATCTTTAAAGACACATTTAATGACATCCTTTTTAAGTCAGTAGATTCATGTTCAGTACAATGTTATGTAAATGTCTATGTATCCATTTATGTATTTTGTGAATTGCAGTGTATATATTATTGTATTCTCATTTCGTGACGATGTGTAATCGTGTGCGTGTGATAAGCAAGTAGATGTGTGTGTGTGTGTGTGTGTGTGTGTGTGTGTGTATACGTGTGTGTGTGTGTGCGTGTGTGTGTTTGAGTGTGTGTTTGTGTGTGTTTGGCATACATGTGTGCGTGTTATGTATTCGTGAGTGTGTATGCGTGTGTTTGTGTGTGTGTATATGTATATGTGTGTGTGTTTGTGTGTATATGATTGTGTGTGTGTGAGTGTGTGTGTGTGTGTCGCGTGCATGAATAATTTTCTTACATGCATTTATGTAAAGCGCCTAGAGCTGTGTTTACACGAGAGTGGGCGCTATAGAAATGATCTTCATTATTATTATTATTATTACAAAAGGTGTTTGACAAGGACAAGGTTTGGAAGGAGGATCTACTAGTCGAGCTCCTCAGAAGAGGTATCCAAGGCAACATGTACCAAAGGACCGAATCCTATCTACAATACACAACCGAAGAGCACGTGTGCTGGTGGATAGATATCAAGGAAGGAAAATGCTGCTGCGACAAGGAGTACCCCAAGGTGGAGTCATGTCACCTTTGCTCTTTGTCCTCTTCGTCAATGACTTCATGAAAGAACTACCCAAAGGAATACATCCTGAATTGTATGCAGACAACCTGGTTCTTTGGTGCTCTGAGGAATTCGTCACCACTGCCACATATCATATGCAATTAGCACTGGAAAAACTCAATACATGGACAAAACCGTGGTGTGTAACTGTAAACAAAGAAACGTCTTCTGCTACACGCTTTGCTCTCAGCCAGGCTGAGCCAAAAAAGTCTTGACAATTAGATACCCCCCCCCCCCTTTATCTTGAAATAATCGTTTACAAGCGTCTCACATGGAAACAACACATTCAGAAAGCAGAAAATAAAGCCAGGAAGAAGCTTAACATTCTAAGAATACTTGCAGGGACTCAGTTGGGAGCGAATGAGAAAGCACTCAGACAGGTCTATCTGGGCTCAATCAGGCCCCATCTAGAGTGTGGATTCAGTGCATGGATGACAGCAGCACAGACTCACAAATACACTCTGGAGAAAGGGCAAAACTAGGTTCTCCGAATAATCTCTGGAGCAATGTGGTCAACGCCTCTATAGAAAATATAGAACAAACAACGTCTATAGAGGCCGTGCGGAGGAGATGGGAGTGCAAGGTCCTCATACAGTACATTAAGTCCACAGATATAGAGGCTCATATGCACACAAGAACAGCCAGATCAAACACCACAAGACTGATAAGATCCACCTTCATCAAAGCAAGTAGAAAAATACAGAGATCCCTACAAGACCATCTACAAGCCACAGTGAACATGTTGAACCATACCCCAGAAGCACCATCATGGGAAAAGAAAAACACAAACATAATCATACACACTTCCATCCCTATGCTTACCACAAAAGATGACCACAGCGACTTGAGCAAGAAATCTTTAACCCTGTCCATGCTTGAAGACAGATACCCCTGAGAAGCATGGATAAGGATCTATACGGACGTATCTGCCACTGATTCTGTGAAAAAAGGAGGAGCGGGAGTGTACGTACAGTTCCCAAATGGACGATGCCAAACAGAGGCAGTCCCAACAGGGTGGCAGTATACAAATTACAGGGTAGAGACGGAGGCTCTAACACATGCTGCAAACATCATCAGAGATGTGGTAGACCCTCAAAGTCAAGTAGTATTCGTAACAGATGCCATGTCGGTATAGTAGGCAATCACTGCCGGCAAACAACCAGGGCTATAAGAAATAATTGAGGACATCCCATGCCTGAGGCCCGTGGCCGCTGAGGATTCCATCACACTGTGGTGTCTTAGGAAATGAACTGGCAGACAGAAAGGCCAAACTAGGAGCATAGACAGAGCAACCAGACAACAGCATCAAATATACAGAAATAAAAACTATTGTAAATGCACTATTTAAAGCACCACAGACACCTGA